TTGGTGATATAATACTTGAACCTGAAGTGGGATATGAAGTTGATTACAACTGCACAAGTGATTCATTGAACAGGTAGAGGATTCAACATTTCTGCTGAGTAACCTTACCTACTTTCATAATTTATCAATCTGCTCATATTGTCTTGTTCCAGAGCACTCGATTACGGAGCAAAAAGGCTTCAAAGTTCTACTCATGGACAAGACCCACGTGTTTTCGAAATGCACGGTGTGCTCCTTCTTGGTGGACCCGATTTTGGAGACTCCCAGAAAGTACGACCATATATTCCTCCGACTATTACAATACTTAAAAAAAATCGTTGTAACAATCTATTTCAAATCATAATCCTAGTCATAACGTTCGAGACAGTTCACTAAAAGTGGCGCAATGGACACTGATGGGTCCAAGAACCGGCCCCGGCCTAGAAAGGGCGCAATAAGGGCCCAAAAGCCGGCTTAGCCCACGTACACACCTAAAGGAGGACGATTTCCTGCTGCGTTGTAAGCTGTGAATGCTGCATCATTCGCACCGGTACGCCCACGTTGCACGCAGGCAGCTTACTGTAGCTAGCTCTACGCAATGGCATACACATTCGGACAACTCGTCCAAATACTACTTCCATGCAACTTTTGCCTTTTTGAACTTTTGCCTTTTTTACTAGGACTTTTGCAAGCCTCATATTTCTGTGAATACACGAATTTTCGTGTTTTTTCACCACTCTTTGCACTATTCTGTACAACTGCTTCCATTATTTCTCTAGCATTAGATTTTTGAGTTGAAAAGCGGATGTACTGATGTAGAGTGGTGCACTAGTGGCTAAGAAGGCGATCAAGTCCGCCTAACACAAAAAAATAAGGCCTAAAGGTAGTGGAAATAGAGTTTGTACGAGATTATCACGACGGAAACGGCACGGAAATGGTATTTGGACGAGATGTCAGTTGCTGCAAATGCGTAAAGAGCTGACTGCGCAGTACGCATACGCGGTTGAGCCAAAATATGTGGAACTGCTATCGAACAACGCTCTTTCTAAGCCGTTTTCCGATCTGAGAATGCCATGCGGGGAGGCCTAAAATTCATCCCAGGAAGAAATCTCCGGAATGTTCACCATGAGCTGCGCCTTGGGCCCAATTCATGGGTCAGCGAGCGAATTCCGCTTCAACTCTATTCCAAGCAGATATTTGATACACAAACAAGAAATTTTTCAATTGGGTGTACTCAGAATTAAAACGTAGCTCAGTGCTGGTCGTTTCATATTCAGAGATTGGTCAGGGCCAATTATCGTCTAGCCAGTGCTTGCCGCTCGAACGATCAATTTAGCCAATTGCTTCAATAAATAAATAAAGTCTTGAGGCGTTGATCAGCCTCGTCTGAGGGATGAGCCCACGCATTCGACTTCTATTCAGGATCACAGTGGCGTATTGAATGCGTATGTGGCCTATACAATGACTGACGGTGACTATACAATGACTTTTATCCTCCCACACAAGTCTGGTACCAATTAACCGAAATGACCTTCACGGAAATTTTTCGATCCTCAGAGTTGGCACATAGAAACAGCTATCCGTCACGGTCCCTCTTGCTTTAATTCAAACGAATAAAGGGTCCAATATCATCAAAGTAAATGACGAACGTACAAATTGCAAAGGAGCGATACCGATCTTTCAGACGAAAATGACAGCAGATATAATCGATCTGTATTCGTTGATGTGTTTTGTGCTCAAAATTCGTCCCGCTCCAAATAATGGTTCACTCCATAGGATTGCAAAACATATTCATCTCCGTCGTTACCATTCATGGGTGAGTTTTTGTTAACCTAAGAACATCTGTAAGAACAACTTAGCGAAAATATCAGTCTTTCAGGTGTGGGACCACGACGAGGTAACTTGACATTCAATCCATCATCTCAATCCAAACATCAGTTGCTTTTCGTTGAGTAATTTTCTTGTTCCACAACCGACTAAACCAAAGGCAGTAAGGAAATATTAAGCTGAGTCATAAGTCCTCGGACAAAGTGACAGTGATGATTTCTAGAGATCATAACTCGGGGGAGAGGTGACGAAAATGGACGGGCGAGGCATCGTTAGATAGAGTATAAAAAGCTCTTCTAAATACATACTGGAAATATACCTGACCTTTTCCTGCGCTTGAGCGTGAGGAGAGAAAGTGCCATGTCGGCGCTGCTGTCCATGTCATACTGCTTCAGAGCATGAGGCACCCATCGACCGAGCTTTCGCACCTTGCCGACTGACTTCAATCCACGAATAACTGTAGGCTGACTCCCCAAGGATGACTGCCAGTTCGCGAGTAGTTCGATACGGATCGGCTTTCACTTGGCTCCGCAGCACGTCCAAATCCAACTCAATTGAGCGTCCCGGACGATCTTCATTTTTGATGGAATAGCCGCCCGACGTGAACTTCGTGTGCCACTTGTGAATTATGCATCCTTGTAAACTTCCTTAAGACGCCTATCGATCTCCGCGNGTTCTTGGCCAGATAAAAAAAGAAATAGGATGGTGTTGCGGAGGTGGAGTTGCGACGACTTGAAATCTTGGGGCATGGTTGCAGGAAAGGAAACAGTTAGGTGTGTCCGTTAACATGTATTTTAAAGAGCTTTTCATACTCTATCTAACAATGCCCGTCCCTTTTCGTCTCCCCTTTCCCGAGTTTTGATCTTTAGAAGTCATCACAATGACTTTGTCCTAGGACTTATGACTCAACCTAATACATGGTTAAGTACACGTGCCATTAGGTCCGGTACTAAGCTGCCAAAAATAAAGCGATGAAAAACTCTTATCAGTTATGAGCCGACGTGAGGGTTTTTCACTATGCTGTTTTCATGAAAACCTAATTTTTGGCATACTGCCAGCGGTTTTCCCTCCAGTACTGACCTTCAAAGGATCAGTTCAACTGCTAACTATTAGCGTTAGGCGTTTAACGCCGTTTAGTAAACAATATCTCCAGGTAAAACTATGTACAGGTAAAACTTTCAAACAATGATATTAGGGTGAAGTCAAGTAGATTTCACAAACTTCACCTCTTGTAACAGTAAGCTTCTGTAAAACTTATTCCCAAGCGACTAAAGATGTACTTTCTTAGAATTTTAACGCTAACCTTATTGTAATTACTTATTCAGCGATACGAGTATATGCTCCTCTTGCTAGCATCACTGCTAATAGTGGCCATAATTATCACAATATGCCTTATTTCTCTGTGGGTGGTTCTCGCCTGGTCAAGATCAAAGGTTTTTATTTTGCTTTGTCACCAGTAATTGCAATAAGTAGGCATTCTGACTCGGCAGGACCCTACGAGAACTTTCCAATCATTCAAAACTATCAGACGAGCTCATAGGGGTATCACTTCGACTGTAAGTAGTTGAGAACAGAACTCATACCAATGCGTAATCTCATAGAGTAGAGAGAGTAGGAAGTCCCCTCTGCAAATGAGGCACAATGAACAGCCTTGGTTCTCCCTGTACCGCTGTTTCGAGGTATGTGGTAAGGACAGCCTCCTTCACAGTGGTTTAGATGCCTCCAGTAAAACAGTGTCGGCGAAAAAATGCAAACAACGCGACCAATCACGCCTATCCCGACCTCGCTTATCATTACACTTTCCTTGATCAAGTGAACACCTTTCAGTGTCACTAATATCATTACAAGCAGAGGAGGTATAGGGCCAAGTGGCGCACTAACATACTTTCGCTCCGATGATTGAGTTCGGATCGATACTAGCCCAAGCTAGCCAAGCCTTCCATCTTTCCGGGGTTGATTAACCGGTGCCACAATCGTCTGGAAGGAGGGAGGGAAGGTGGTGCCCCGAACTCCCGAAGATGGGATTGGTTAACGTTAGAAAACTCTATCTTTTACTTTATTGCACGGGTCCGATTTTGAGCACCTTGTACTGCTACATTGAAGCACTTTGTATGCCAAGATTTAAGACGAGTCCCCATTGGGCTTAACATTAGTCGAAGTCGAACAGTATTAGAACAGAATGGAATCAAGCAAATAAATGTAGCAGAAGCTCATAGTCTTACCCGGGGTTGGTTAACTGGTGCCACAATAGTCTGGAAGGAGGGGAGGGAAGGTGGTACCCCGAAATCCCAAGGGTGGGATTGGTCAACGTTAGAAAAGTGTGTCTTTTACTTTATTGCGCGGGTCCAATTTTGACGGACCTTGTACTGCTACATTGAAACACCTTGTATGTCAAGATTTATGACGAGTCCCTACTAGGCTTAACGTTAGTCGAAGTCGAATAATACTAGAACAGAATGGATTCAAGCAAATAAGTGCAGCAGATACCTTCCTTCTATCGCTCGAATAGAAAGCCAGTCATAGAATAAAGTCAAGGCTTAATCTTAATGCATGTCATTTCAGGGAGACCGCGACTATGATGAAGAGTCTTCAAAATCGTCGATTTCTATCTAGAAAAACTGTCTCTTTTTTTATTGCGCAATCATATCTTCAGTAAAGCGTTTGCGGTATCACTTGAATAAAGGTATCGGGATCGAAAAGTAAAAAAAGATCCTAAGTAGAACAAGATGTTATGAAACATACCGAAACAAAACCACTCAATAAAAGGGTAAGGGACAATAACATGTACCTGGTACCCAGTCAAAATTATGTAAGACTCATAGTTTCACCCGCACTGTCAGAGAAAAAAAAANAAAAAAAAACAAATAATAAAAGCAATACTTGTAGCAGAGCCACTGAAAGCACTTGACTCATCTCGAAACATGGGAATAGTGACTGGGAGCTCAGAGGAGTCTTCTCATATTAATGGAAAAAATGTATCTTGGTCACATGAAACTGAGTACTCATTCGAAACCCACGGATCAACAGAATGCATTACATTAAAACAGCATGACGGAGGTAGCCCGAAAACAAAAAATAAAAGTCCGAACAATAAAAAGAACTCACACAAAAGGGAGCAGGCGTACTTAAGAGTTAGGACAGAGATCCCCATAGTTCATCGACAAACCATCCATCGCTCACAGTACCTCCTTAACTAAAATAAAACAATGTGAATCATTGCCGACTCACTAAGATATTGCAAGAAGCACGAATGGTCGCATGTTGTTATGTATTTGATATAGACACAGTCTGCTCGGAATCCTTGAATCTATGAGAATCAAGGATTTCGTAATGTTTCTAGGATTTTACTGCACGGATATGGACCATTCCTAATGTTTTCCATTAGCTAAATTGGGGTTGGGTGATTCGCACAGTGTATGCCCCGAGAAGGATGACTGCGGCGCTGTATTCAGATGTTGTATAGCCCACTACCGTACTTGACGTCGTCTAGCGAGGCTATACAGTGTTGGTAGAATGATGGAACACAAACATTTCTGACTATACAGGATGGTAAAATGTGTTACACAAGCATTTGTAGTACTTCAGGGTTTGTAAAATGATGGGACACATATGTACCAAGATTGAAATCCTGAAAAGAAAACCGTTGAGTAAGCGAAAGATGATCTAGAGTTCCCATTAGTCCGAATAAATACCGAATCCGTGATGAAATGCTCAACTACCGAACATTCCGATCTAAGTGTGGGAGCAGTAACGTTGTGAGCTTCTTCATTTCAAACGAAATGAACTCGGCTACTACACCTCAGGCAGTACTTTTTAAACTACTTACATTATTCAGTACATCACCGTTCTTCAAACAATATATATGCAGGGTAGGGTCATCAGGGCTGTGAATAACCATCATCGAGACGGTTCTTATCAACGCTCTCTCCCATTTTATTTCCGTAACGGATGACCACTTCGTAGACGTGTTGACATCTTCTGACAATGACAACCGTTCCAACCATCTGCCAGACATGGCTGTACAGGGTGACCCACATGAAGTGTGAAGGGCAATAAAAAAATTAACGTGCGGGCTTTCGGGCTGGAGGAAGCGGTGATCGCTTGGGCGGAAAGGAACGCGATGAACGTCAGCTGAACCTTCCACAGGATTGGGCAACAGCCCACAGCGCAAAGAAGATGCTGAAATGTTGTGAAACCTCGCTTCCGGGTTTTTGGGNGTAGGAGTAATATGTGTAGGAGTAACAGCCCCTATTTGGTTTGATCTGCATAATTTTGATGCTAGTTTTCTGCGTCACACTTCATTTGGATTACGCTGTATAGATGTATATATCTGAGCGATATAGAGGGTAAAAGACTAATTGCTGATGACCACCTGCGGAACACTTCCAACGAAAAAAGAAGAAAGTAACGTTGAATTCAAGGCAAAGGACACCCTGTTTTGTGTCGTACACCGAGGATACAGCCCAAACTGGAACGTAAACATGAGCAGGCTACAAAGGACTAGACTGGCACTAAAGTACCAAATCTTCACCGTACAAGATCATACATAAACAACAATAATTTATTCAAAAACGTATATTATTAGGGCACCGTAGCAAATATTATTATTACAACCAATGCGTGTTAATAACCGAATGAAACTAAGCAACGAAAATCTGAGTGAATAATCCACAACCATTCCTATAAATCTAAAAGTATACAACATAACATCAATGAGTGAAACCCTGGCTCACACAGTTCACCTTATAAGTCCAAGCCATACTGATGCTAGGTAGGCAGAATAAATAATATATTCTTTAAAAGACAACTACAACAGAAAAATTACTACTGACTACGTCTGCTTACCATAGCCGGTCATGAAAGGTGCTAAAGATGATGAGATGAACTGCTATCGACCCTTCTTTAAAATGGGCCGTAGGAGATTGGCAGCTATGAAATTGTGCAGTGTTTAAGTTACCAATATTACTGGTAAATATGCTTCGTCGAATTCTTTTGAACTCGCATTCTCGCTGCAACCTGGAGCGGCGCATGCGGGAAGCTCTTTGGTAGGTGTTGTCAGCTCTCAATAAAATACAGACTGTCAAGAGAGACCCAATGTGCCAACTCGCTTTTAGTTTACTATGCAAATACAAGACTACATTTTCCGAATTCTCAATTACTTTACATTGGAACCTACCTCTCCCAGTCAGTATTTCATGGAGTCGCATCAACACGTTCAAGTCCAATGTATGAGTCGGGAAGGGAGTGATCGAGACTGGACGACGGTTTCCTCTTCTGACCATACCGGGGCCCCCCGCATCCCTAATCAGTAAAAGTTAAGGGATCCTCACAGACTTGCTTGCGACTGGTTTCCACCATACGACTGTGACGACCCGTCCCGACCAATACCCCGGAGTCCGAATCAGTCTTCTTAGTAGGGTGGTTGCCTTACTTAATGTTCGACATCTTGTTAAAAGGAGTATACAATGTCACTGGTTACAACGATAATACAAAAAATAAAAAATCTCGAATTCCACGTATATTATTATGGACTAGAGGAAATGGTAACCACTTCTTCCAAACTAGCTTCCGCTTATATATAATCATCCAACTATCTCCAATAGAATACCATATAAAGTCAGAGATCGGTGCACCCGGACTTTTACTATGCGCTATTGGCCAAACATAAGGAATGACGCCTATATGGCACAAAATCACATCAAACGTTGTATACAAAGAAATGCGAAGCCGTTTAGGCATGTGAAGTGGGTACACCATATCTGCAGCGATCAACGCTATTTGAACATCCGCTATGTAATTAACGGCAATTATGAATTTTACCACATTTCGTGAACGGAATGCACATGAGCGAGAGCCTTAGCTCATCCTAAAACTGCTCAACAAGTGCCTCAACGAGATAAGTTGATAAGGTGTCCTTACTGCTCCGTACAGTCAAACGGTACATCTGAAATACGTCTCAGAATAGGATATTTAGTGATTTCGTCGAAAACTTAAACTCTTTGAAAATAAAATCGTAATAAGAAAGCAATCAAGCAAGATTCAGGACTGATTTTGTAGGAGAAATACTTTCACTAGCAGAAACACATTGGTGGATGAGTGGAAGACCATTTTCGGCATATACTGTAGAAGCCAAGAAGGCACGGCAGGTGAAACTCAGGAAATAAAGGTGAGCCCAAAACACATGAGATCAAGCTTAGAATGAATAAAAGTTTGCTCGGTTTCCGGTTGAAGTGCTACGAAAATGTTGAGGCACGACTGCACAATAGCGATGAGAAGAGAACGAACAATACGTGAAAACACCTTACTTTCGAACCGATCAAATTATAGATTCCACCAGAAAGTAAAAAGGGTGTTCCATGCGAATTTGTAAAATGGAGAATCCCAAAAGAATCACGGAAGAACTTAACGTGAACAATAAAACTGGGGCTCAACACCATCTGCTCGATGCCTCTAGTGTAGGTTAGTCAGGGGGTGAATTTGACAACCATAAAAAAAGGGCTCTGAAATTCCCCTTAAACCTATGACAATATTTTGAACACACCCGTTTCGATAAATTTTCGATTTTCTTCACGAGATCACCTATTTGTAAATCTTACACGGACGAATATGCAAAATTTTCGATTAATTATGCTAAGCTTACAGCGCCTACAGCTTTAAGTTGTGGAGAGATAGAAGGTATCTGCAACAACACTTGTCTACTAGCCGAAANAAACTCAAAAAAAGAAGAACACGAATTATACAAAATTCTCTTCAAGAAACTTAAGCGTCAAGATTCAATTGCACAGATTCTAAAAATTCAGACGGAAAATTCGCTGAAGCATATCTTACCTTGGCTTGTTTATTAGGCTCCAACCGAATTAAGGTTCCGATTTGCTGTGTTTGGGTGTGGATGATACCAGCACAGACGTAGTTATCGGGATTGGGATCCACATTGGCCAATAGCTTGGCGCCCAGACCAACCAACTTCTGCGTGACAAGAGCAGGATCCATAGACTGTTTAGCAGGAAAGATTTTCTGACATTCCTGAGATGGCTGACCAAGTGCTTTCCACCTGAAAAATCAATTTTTGCAACAGTCACCGAGATGAACTTCAGGAAAGTCACACCTTGCAAAGAACTGTTCAGACGACATTTCAGTAGGTTCAAAGAATTTGTTGATAAAAACTGGTAGATACACTGATTTGTCGAACGTGTGAGGTTGTCCAGCTCGATCCCTGAGAAAAATGAAAATATTCTATTGCCATTAAAAGAAAAATGGTCAATCAGTCCTGAAGGATGCTGAAGTAATACTTCTTAGGTTTTTTCAGCAAAGATTTTCGATTCCAAAGTGAATGCGGTAAACTTACGTGTAATTGAATTTAATTTGCATGATAGGCATTCTTCCAAATTCCTGTACACACACAAAATTGATCAGCTGCTGAACTTGTGTACCAGCCTGTACAATCGAATCCATTGGCTTGGCCTGTAATCACGAAATACAAGGAAGAAAAAACGTTTATACGACAGCTGAAAAAGCGAATCGCTGCATTAGCTCTCATCTTTAAAAAGAAGATAAAGAAGTTAAAGAAAAGATTCATAAGAAAATAAAGTTTTGGTTACTCTTCAACCAGAAAAGTTTGTACACAGCGAATAAGAAGATATGCGTCAGATTTTCTAATGTCAGAGGTGTCTTGCAAAACTACGGGTGTTTTCCAAAGAAGGAATCTTGAGAACAAAACACTAAAAAAGTCTTCAACGCATTTATATCGACGCTAAAACTACCGAATCAGTGCATTCGAATTGTATACTTTGATTATTGTTTTACTCATAATGCATCAATACAAATGTGCAGTTGACCAGAATTTTCTACTGAAAATTTTTAGCTCCATAAATAGGGCTGCAGAAATAAATGAAAACAAATAGCAAAAACTGAAAAGACAGAGATTCAAATATAAGAAGAGGAAGAATCGCTGTCAAACTTTCTATCAACATTGTATGTGACGCGTTCTTAGATAGCTGTTTACGAGTGTTTGTGTCTTTAAAGGAAAGCTTTTTGTGTTTTTCTCTTTAATTAGCTTTGATAAATGATTTCCCATAGCTACTGAATGCGGAATCTAAATTTACAGTCCTGATAGTACATACGCTACTTACAACACAATATTATGCATTATTCAGTACTTGTATTGAATAATTAATAACACCATTACAAGCATGAGTATTTGAGACCGTAAGCTAACCAAATGGTATTCAATTTAAATTTCAGTAGTGACTCAATATTTGAATTTATCAACAGCTTTAGGTAATTCTGCCAAAGGGACTCATANACTCATAATACTTCAAGTAGAGTTTTACATTTAGAAAGAAACATAAAATAACACACCTGCGCCTGAAGTTGCATAGCGAGTGCTCCAGGACAACTGACAGTGGGGATGAAATCGTTGAACGGGTGTGAGGTCTTGTTTCCATAAAACATTCCCAAACGTGCCAGATTGGTCCTGGCTTCTAGCTTACTACCGATTTGAATCACTTCATCTTCGTATAGGACTCCATTATTTTTCACAACGAACCTGAACAGGAAAAGAATGCTCTGGCGCTAGACAAATTACTAGATATAAATAAGTGCTGGAGTGTTGAACGCGATGCTTCAATTTCAATGTATCCCACGAAACCTCCATAAGTTTCAAAGATATAGAAAAGAAAAGAAGTCATATACAGGAGAAGGATGGATGTAGCTGTTTCTTCGACATTCTACTCGAACTGACTTGAGATAATCGTGCTTATTCGCAATATCCTGTTCTTCTGCACCGACCATATTGGCTGGAGCCTGATCTTGAGGTCGCCCAGAAGATGGATGTCCAAAGATGTCAACAAGTGAACTGGAGAAAAAAACTTAAAAATAATCCGATGTGAAGTATAAACTTTCTCATAAGACTTACCCGGACCCTTCATTTCCGGGCTGTGAAAAATCGACGAGCGCTGCTGCGCCACCATCCTAAATGTATGAAAATTAGAAATCCAGCAGAAAATCCGTAACTCTAACCACATGGGCGATGGCAGAACAAGATGACGTTGTAACTTTGCACGTTGCAAACAGTATGGACAATTCAAAAAGGGGTACGTGGAGTGAAGACGAAGGGACCCAACAAAACTGTTGAAACGGAAGTGTAGGAGCGAAAAATGAAAAAAAGTAAACTTCGCGTAAAAACTGTAATATATATATATATATATATATATATATATATATAAACGTTCTATAAACGTCGATATAAACGTTCTAGCAAGTTGTAATGAAGTTCTGAAAGTGTGGCTGGAACTGGGCAGTGAGGGAAAAGCGAGAAACACACGAGAGAATTGAAGACTGTGATTTCCAATCAAAACGAAAAGCGAAATAAAAGTACACAAATGCTTCATATTTAGAAAGCTCGTATCTATAAAAACAAATGACTAAATGAAACAGATTGAACAGACTTGTATGCGAGTATTACCTTCGCCATGGTAGCGTTTGGCCGATTTTTCTTCTCCTTTTCCACATTTTCCATTTCTTCAACCTGTGGTTTACTCTTCTTGAGCTTGGCCAGCAAACTGCTTTCCTTTTCTGCGAAAGGTGGCATTTCTTCCAATATCTAAAAACACGATCATGAATTGAACTTCAAAATGAGGCACAAAAGTTTTGTTGACAAGCAAATACTTAATTATAGGACTAGAAAGAATCTAGTTACTGGAGCGTTTAGAGAAACGCTTTAGACCAGTTTTTTTTTGAAAATACATCGAGATGCTCGTCCATTTATTGGAAAAACCTCCAGTTCGATTAAATGAAAAAGTCTAATTGAAGAAAGTTATTTACCGTTGCCAAAACATCTGGACTAGCGACTTTGCTCATCTGGAGGTACTCTACTGCTCGCTGTTGCAATTCTGCATCAGGATTTCGTAGATTATGATCCATTTGGTACACCTGCAGAGATCAACAGTTTCCAATCTCAACTCAATATGCTAAAGAAAAGGGCTCTGAAAGCACACGTACCTGTTGGATAATGTGCTTGATTTCGGGGAATAAATTGCAAAACTTCACGTAGGTAGTGAGAAGAAGACATCTGGTAGCAATACTACACAAGGGGAACTTCGAGTGCAGTAGTTCAAACTGGATTTGGGGACTAAACAATGTGAGTCCTTACTATATATCAATGGAAGAGCCTTTAAAACAAGTGGAGAGGACCGCAGCAACAAAAACTGCTAAACTGTCACCACAACACGCTTCTCAATAAGAAAAGCGAAGTAAACACACCTCGACCGTTGGTCACCAGCTATCAGATTTCCAAACTCTCCCAATATGTATCCTCCGACTTTCACCATATTCTCATGACAAGCTGGCCTCTAAAGTGAATCAATGTGATAGCAATTGTTCAAAAGCAGTCAAAGACAGGTAGCTTTTTACCCTTAACAACTCTCAATACAACGAATTGAATTTAAGTATTCACAAAGAACAAGGCTCGTTCCACAGGGAACCACAAAGAACAAGGCTCATTCCACAGGGGACCTAGACGAAAATGCGAACAAGCTATTACCTGCAGTGCTTCAAAGACAGTTTTCGCAGCATATCCTTGAACGTCTTCACGATTGACAACAATCTAAAAAGAGCATGACATGAAACAGATCCAAATTTACTAAGCAAAGGAATCAGATCATTGAAAATGGTTTGAAAACTAATTTGTCTACCTGAATTACTCTATACCACACTTCTTCCGAGACATAGTCACCAGCAATCCGAATTAATTTCAGAATGACATCAACATACCACGTATAGTCGGTAGCATACTTTTCAGCCAAAATAGCAACTTTCAAAACCTAGAAAAGACGAAAGGCTAGAATAGAAAAGGGAACCCACAATGGCATGTATAGTCACGTATTTGTCTCATATCAACGAGAGGAGGTTTCAAAACCTACCATCTCCTCTCTGATAGAGTAGTCAGCCGTTTCCAAATACGACAGCATTTCTGCAACAATTTCGCTAGCGTTGGTGCGATCACACATGGCATATAGTAGGTCGACAGCACGTTGTCGCACAGAAACATCTCTGAAGTGATTAAAAACTGAATGAGTTGAACTGTATATCACAAGTGCCTTATGAGAACAACCTTTCCGTTTTTAAGCTGTTGATAATAGTATCCTGATGTTTCTTCACAGTTTCATGAGAAAACTCAGATGTTGCTAATAAGCACATAGACTCCAGCGCCAAATACCTGTAGTCGAACGTACTAGAGGGGCAATGAGATTTTGTCGGGTGACATACCGAAGATTGGTTTCTCTGTGCGCAAGGAATGTACCCAATTGGTTGCAAGCGCGAACGAGGAGATTTGCTTCGCTGTCCATGTGAATGATTAGAGCTATGGCTTCAAACAAAACAGCGTTTTTTGCATTGGAATGTTGAACCTGTATTGTGTATTATACAGTAGGACAGGAAAAACTAAAACTTATGCTTTGCAGAGTACCTTTTTGGATTTCGGTGCATCTTGAGCTTTATTAAGCACTCCTTCCAAACATTCGAGCAGACGAGCTTTGTTCGAAGGATCCTCTGGAATTCTTGCATGAGTCATATATTCAGCTAAAATGAATTTTCAATAATTTCCCACGTTACTCACCTGGAGGGGGATAATTCTGCAACAAGCGCAGCAGTTTCACGCACAACCAAGGTGCTGGGACGAAATAATATGTATAATCTTGGAGATCTGTATATGTTGCGGTCACTATTCTACTTAATCGAGAAATCGCCAATGGCACACATCCCTGCAAATACGAAAAGTAGCGAGAACAGCAACTCAACACTTTCTTAATAGTATCTAGTGCAAATTCAATCTAATAAAAAGGTCACCTTATATTCATCAGGCCATTTTTTTGAAAGAGATTCGATAAGAGAGGCTGCTGAAGTCACAACACCCTTAATTGGAGTATAGGAAAACCTTCGATATTGTGTGTTGAAAACAATAAATGGCTCACCATATGTGAGTCATTAAGTAAGTGAACGATCCTGCTTGCATATTCACCCGGTTGAATAACATCAGGAGCAGTACGGAATAACTTCAGTAAGCACAATGCTGCTGACTGTTTGACGAAATCAATAGTGTCCCTGTAACCATGGTTTTAATAGCATTGAGGGAATAATGCTACATTACGAGGATCAGCGATCGCCTATTTGTGCCCAAAGCTATCCGAAACCTATCGCACCAAAGTTAGCACTTCATCAAACCCGTGATCTGAGAAGGTTAAATATTACGATCGCATTATTATGACTAAGGGGTATGGAATCTTAACACAGACAATCTTTATGAAAACATCACCAATTGATGTAAAGCAACCATAAATATGTGAGCAAAGCCTCATCAGTAAAGCATCAATTCTCATGAAAACTAGGTTCAAAAAAGACTAAGTGATTAAACCTACCCAGAGACTAGTAATTTGGGAAGATCGTTCGAGAACGCTTCAGCCATATCGCGGCTACCAATGTTGGAGATACATTGGAGAGCGAGGTTGACGTGAATTGGGTTGCGAGAAGTTAGATCATTACGGATCGCTTGTACTATCAATTTCATCAGATCCGAATTCTGTTCAATCAACACAGATATGAACAGGTATCCCTTAAATTAATACCTCAGTACAACTGATTGAACAAAACAAATAGCATTTTTCATTTTCTAAGAACCCAGTACTCTTCTAAGACCTAGAAATGCGTGCCGTATAACCGCTCAAATTGGAATTTATCATAAAAGGGCCTATTAAGAAGCAATATACTGCCAACCAGGAAGAGCTAATTAACTTCGGAACGATATGGTTATAGGAAGATATCGATTCTATTCTAGTTTGTTGCACAGATTGTCTTCTACAGCCCGTAGCTTTGCCATCTCAATGAGTGTGCTTGCAATTAGTCTTTTTCAAACAATAAAAAGCAACTAATTGCACGGGAGTACTCTTGCACACTCTCGAAAATAATGAAAAAGTAAGCATCAAAATTATCCAGCAAAATACGTAGAGCAAAGAATGGCTGATTTGAAAGAAGTTGCAGGAAACTCACGATCTGCTTTTCTGTGTATTTATTTGATGAAAGAAGATTAACAGCTTCCATGTGTCCAAAGTCAATATCATTTCCAAGGAGAAAAATAAATAGCAATTTGCAAACATATTTTTTCTTCTGATATCCATCCAAAGTTTTGTCGCCTGAAGGAAGGGGAAGAAGGAACTGAGGAGGAACTTGGTGGGTGATAAAAAAATGCAGACAAGGAGCTTCAAAAAGTCAGATACTGTTAGTTCAGTCTAAAATTGTCAAAATCTTTCTGCAATTAGGAATAAAAGTCCATAAGACCGAACTTATCACTTTATAGAAGAGATAAACTCACTAACCTTTGAACTTTGACCTTATATTGGCGAGTTCTTTATTTATCCGTTTCATTTCGGCCTCTTTACTTTTACAATTTCGTATATCCGATATGAAGACGGCCAATCCACGCATGCCATCTCCTTTTACGGCCGGCATATCGTTCTTCAAATAGATGGGTTATATGGACTAGAGATGAAAGAAGCAGGAAAAGCTGTCAGGAAACGAAAGCGAGCTTTGTTCAGCTGCATAGCAGCACCACTGAAGCTCCAAAGCTATCCGGAAAATTAGTTTTGTGTCATGAGTTCATAAAAGAAAATTGAATGAGCTGTCCCCAAAAATACTTCCACGGCAAGCTCCCGAATGCGCAGGGGGATGAAAGAAACGAAAATCGATAAGAACGCAAAGGGATGCATTTTACACGGGATTTATGCGATCGCTAGGCCAGCATTACTGAATTACACTACTAATTCACAACTGAAATTATTTAATCAGGTAGATTCCACGCTAAAAGACACAAGAAATAGGACACTTGCTTAATCACTCAATAAAGATCCCTAGCATTGAAAAGTGAGAAAGGGCGGAGGAGGAAGCTGCCTTGAGCTCTGAAGCCGAGCACAAATGTATTAGCACAACAGGATCTGATCGCTCAAATATCGACAAATACGAAAAACTATTTGATTTGCTAGACAGGAAAAGAGAGAGCCTAATCAAACTCCCAAGAATTTATTCTTACGATACCACAAGTCCGCAACGGCCCTGCACTAGAAGTGGGCGAATTCTCGCCACAGCCGGTAAATACGGTCGTAATCTACAATCTTAGCTTCTGACCTTGATATGGAAAGTTGGAGTACTTTCTATAGCCCCACGCCGTCGGAGCTAGAAAGTCGATTCCCTAAAAAAGCTAAGCCGTGCGTAAGGCTGTACGGTCGTATCTGAAGCCGTAATGGATGGAATAGGCCATTCGGAGCAAAACTAGCTGCTATGTGTCCACAGTGTTGCATAATGTTTACGTTTTTTTGCTTACGTTTCGGTCTCTAACTGAGCATTATCGTAAACATCACAGTGCGAGGCCCACGAATCATCTCCCCGGGCATCTCCCCTTACAGTTAGTCCTATCCATCCCCTCTTTTATTCATATATTTGGAACTCATCCTTGCTCTCGTACGCTTGCAGAAAACCACCGCTCATTTCATGAACTATATGATTGGAATCGGACCTTTTTTATACTAAACTGTATGAAGATAAGAAATAGTGGTTGAGCAAGAACAACTGAAGAAGAGCTGCTACAAGGGCTTGATGAAGGGGGCGAGAGGAGCCCAGTGAAGGAGATATTTCGACTTCTGACTCCTAGAGAAGTGAATTTCAAACGATTCTGTAAGCCACATGATTAAAGCAGCATACCTAGGAGATGAGGGGTATTGAGGCCAACTGGAGTAAAAACCAAGTACTGCCCTAATCCCCCTCCCTCCACCTCCTTCTAGCCCACACAGCACATTAAAAAAGTCATGCCTTTAATGAATCAGTCAAATCGACAAAAGTTGTTCGTATACGACGGTCCATGGATTGTCGATAGGGCACAGAGTGCTAGTCGAATCTCCGGAGTCTCGATTGAAAATACAGGCAACTGAAATTTGTTTCAACAGTTCAAAGAAATATTTAATAACTAGATACCCTCATTAGATTTTTTATTAATTTTCCTTTTTGCTTGTTCTTTTACCACCACTTTTAGCATAAACACCATATTCGCCTTACACTAGATATATGTCAAGCTCATTTATAAACTTTATCACCGATTCTCTTGAATCTCTGCACGCCATTCTTTATTTAATCTAATAGGAATCCATCTTGAAGAGAAGATTGTCGTTGTAAAGAAAAATTGAAGAGTTTGGTCTTCAAGGGACAAAAACCCTTGGACCTCGTGTTTTCGGTCGTGGAAGGAACCCAAGAGCGTTCGTAGTTGCTATTGAGATGAAGTCGGCTCAGGTCTCTACAAGAACGAATCAAAGCCTTCAAAGTTTGCTGTACCACTAAATCAAGATGAGCCAACCAAGCATAAAAAGCTTCCACGACCTTGGGCGAAACTGCGGGTTCATGGCGCATCCTAGAGGCATTTGTTAGGTCATTTCATCTTTACTGAAAATAAGCTTCTACAGTATGAATAACAGGTGATAAATAAAACCTCTAGGCTAGGGACCGTTCCCCTTTGAAGCATGGAGAGGGAATATCCGGTTCATAACGTTGCCATATGGGTCAAGGCCCAAAGCCGACTTCCATTCGAAGTCACAAAAGAGTTTGAATCGTACCTGGCCCCTGAACAATCATGAGGTGGCAAGCCCTTGTACAAGTCAGTACTTGAATATTCTCGGTTAAGTTTTAGAAAATTAAAGTACTGAATGGTGCCCAGCTGACTGACTTTGAAGTCACGGAAGTGAGCTTGTGGCCTCAGTCTGTATCTGAAATTTGATCCCAGGGTCGCAAGTGTGGTAGCAGCACAGCCTAGCACCACCTTACCACCCCCACCAGTCGTCCCATACTCTTGCCGAATTACTACTGTATTTGAAAAATGGTTACATTTGAAATATTCGGGTTTTTACAGGTTGAACAGGCAAAATTGACTAATTGTCTGAAAAGTGAAACATGTAAGAACAGGTTTGGACAAGAATTTTTATTATGCCTCATTTCATCGTGTAAATTACCAGTTTTCATCGCTCCTTGATGAGCAAGTGCTAAACAAAGCATTCTGCCTCAAGGGGGACTCGAACCCGCACCTGTTCGTTCTGGGCCCCGCACTCTTAGCTATTACACGAACGGGACCCCGAACCTCGAACATTTCTAACTGAGTATTTACCGTAGTTTATCTAATTTCTTATCTAAGTCTCAATCCTTTAGGAGGACTAATTGTAAGTGCTGCTTTTGAATGTTTAACCTAAGTAAGTAAAACAGTAAGACGTTCATAGATACTTCTCGAACACTTTCTGTCCAATTTAGGAACACGCTCCTCCTCCCTCCATCGAAACTGGGTACTTACCTCAATTTCGATTATATTCAAGTTTATTCTCCTGACACGTATGACTTTCCAGCTATCTTTTCATACAGCTGTCTTCAAACATCGTACAACTAACTGCCTCGTTCAACGTGGTCTGAAAACAGTGCACTTTTTGTTTTTCAGGCCAGATGGGAGAGACATCCTTTAAATTCTTTTGCAAAGGAGAGACCAGTCCAACCAAGATCGATACAATCTAATTATTGCCATAACTTTGAAAGGGGTGGGTAGCACAGAAGGAGATGGGAGCAGTAACTACCAAGTTCAGAGTTATACCCTCTGCAGGACATATGTGAAAAACAAGAAACATTAGGATAGTAAAACAGTAATAGCATTTAAATACTAACAATTATTAAAGTAATAACATCAGGATACCAATAAGTAAATAAAAACAACACGAAAACATGGCACATAATACTGGATTCAAGCAAAGTAATGAGTTACAGTAAAGAAAGGTACCAAATCTATATTAAAGGATTTTTTGAAGACCTTTTTACTAATCTTCAAGGAACTACGGCTTGAAATATGATATGAATGCCCTCACGTTCCAGAGGGTAGTCCGTTACTCGCCGCTCGACACTACATGACTCGTGACAGGGTGAGGTGGTGTACTTGCTAACTCAAAATGAAATCAATCTTTGATAACACTGAAGATTCCCGCACATAAGCTAGTAATGAACATAGTAATGGGATAAACTGGTTTCTCTAAAATATCCGACTGATTTTTGAATAAGCTGCTATAGAAAAGCCAGGCTCGTAGAAGCCCTTTGAAATTATCATGGGAACTATACAATAAAAGTTAAAAAGTGGCTGATGTTTTCTGGCATTAATCAATCCCACGAGAGGGATGCGCCACGCATTCAACTTCATTTCAAATTCGTATTGGCATATCGAATTCGTATCTGGCCTATACCACGGCTTACGGTGGCTAGCAGTTGCATTACTCAGGGCTTTCATTCTTTCAACGAGGGTACGAATCAAACGACCTTGGAGAGACGGAAGGCCTCGTTGGTCTTCACAGATATCGATCCGGGGCTCGAACCCGTGACCGTGGGTGTGTGATAGTTCCCCAGCTGCGATTACACCATCTCCGTGTTATGGCAGCAAGGGCCAAGAACTATTCCTGAGCTCTTAGAGATATGATTCTATGGAATTCAAGAGAAATGTAGCAAAAAGGAAAACCGAGTGTTCATTTCTCATTGGTGCCTTCGCTACATTTGAATACAGAAATCCACACATTCGAGTAGGTAACTAACAAAAAGATTCGCCTGAGCTTTCTTAGGTTGAATGTGGTTTTCCATGGGGGTTCAAAAGCATATCAGACTTGCAGAAACGTTCGTAGGAAATAGTGTTATATAAAGTTAATTTACAAGTCGCCATGTTACTGGCGGATCCATTTGATGATTCTCTGTTTTCTAGAGCTGTCCAGGAAACTCATATTCAAAACAAATAATAAGGAGCATCTGTCATAAGATATGTCTGTCAACACTTGATACTCGGTAAAGGTGGATGTAAGGGATTACAAGCAGAGAAAGGCCGATCAACATATCTCAGAAGAGGCAAACCATTAAGTTGCCCCCGGATTCATCATAGTTAAGGATGAGACGAAATCTTGGACCCCGGTTTGGGAGCAACTTCTCGAGGAGCAGGCCGTCGAACACTCTTGCGCTGGCAACGTAATCCACGTCACAGCGAAGCTTCTAAAGTGAATTCCAGGCCAGTTATCCAGGAACTGGAATAAGTTTGTTTTCGACTGGACCTGGGCCGACTTAAAAGAATAACATGTCACTATTTTGAAATGATATCAACACTGCTCGAGTTCTGAATGATCCTTCAAGACCGTGAGAATCAGTAACAGAAGATTTCAAGGGACTCATGAGCTTTATCGCTATCACTGATATCTACTTTGGTAAGAAAATTAGCCAAAAAGCACAAAGATGTCAGAAAAGAACTGAGTCTGAGAAATCTGAGGAAGACGATTGTCTTTCTCAGATTCAAACAGCCCAAAGGAATGAATTAAGGACTGAATTAAAATTATTACCCAAATTTGGACTCAGAAGGGTGGCGTGACCATCTGCTTATCTGCCTTGAATATGCCCTTTACGGGGTTCTGAGCCAGTAGGGTGCCTCGTAACCAACAAGAGCAACAATCTGAAAGAGCAGGGAGCTTCCTCGGAAGCTTTGTCGATACTTTACTTTTTGGAGAATTAAAGCGCAAATATGTCATGGCTCAGTCCAAGGGGACCAATCGATCCATACCAAGTACTAAGAATTATATATTTCTCTATCTACACTGATAGCACGCTTCTATATCCAGAAGCGTTCTTTCAGTGTAGATCGAGAAATGTATAATTCTTCATGTACTTTAATTTCAGTGGGTTTTATAAACTCTAAACTTTTAATGGATGTTATAACATGCTTCTATCCTCAGGCTTTGTCCAGCCTTAATTTGAATTAATATTCGCTAATGTTCAAAATAAAATAGGTTTTTGATGGTGAGCTTCAGCGATTTTCAGATCTCAAATTCATGTGCATAGGTGCAACTACAAAGTTGTAAAATTGTGATTTACAATCTACACCCTTGCAATAAATAGGGTTTAGCTGATTTCATGTGAGTACTATGTTATGTGAAAATTGTATTAATGCGGAAATGTCACAGATAAATTCAATTTGAGTCCATCGAAAAATGAACAACTATATTGTCTTCTTTCTAAACTGGGAGTGGGGAACGAGGGAAGGAGGGGGAGAGGGAAGGGAGGGGGGAACGAGGGGAAAAGCCAAAGTTGTGATACTACGAGGTGATCATGTAGGACTCGATGCCTAAATCTACCATCCCTATGATTTTACTCCTCACATGGAATTGAAATGTGTTTACATAAACATACGAAAGGAAAGCCGATTCGTATTCATGAACCTAAAGGATTTGTTTCCTTCTGCGTAAAGGAGGGAAGAGTGGAGGAAGGGTGGGGGGAGTATTGAGGGAAGTGAAATTTCGGCCCACTATTCCCAGGATCAAAGACAAATCATCACCCTCTATAAGAATCACGGCTCACACCCTCGGATGTACTCTAATAAATGAATGAATGAAAATATGGATAAAAGGATAAACGATAATAATTAAATTACTGGAAACCAGAAAAAACATGGGCTACATGTTGTCCCATTTGGTTGCGAAAAACGGCTGAGAACCAAGAAGTAGCGAGATATAGTGAAAATGGGAGCAACCACCAAATTGTAATGCCCGATAATTGCTGTTGCTGAAGTGGAACGATTCCATTTTGAAACTCCTCATTGAATTAATGAAAGAAAACGATGATGTGGACGAAGAGGAAGCAAAACAAATAGAAACAAGTAAGAGCCAGTGAGACGCAGAGTGCACGAAAACGCTTAGGGCTGGCCGTATCGGATAAAAGCCGCATGTCACGGCTTCCCTCGAAAAAGGAAGTCCTCATGGCGTGAGTGGGAAACTAAACCCAGAACACTTCAGCGCCACGGCTATGCCCCATTTCTAGTGCTATGAAATGTTTTTACTCCGAGAAATTAACGGACCAATTAATCATTGCTGCTTGGGCTCTCGGATAAACCATTCTTATACTAGAAAGAAGGGCCCCTATCCACCCCAAATTTTTGGTCGGAACAGAACTAAGAAGACGTCGCTAACAGATTTGTCGCATCCCGGTCCTCTTCTAGAATCGATCCAACCAAAAAAGCAACATTCAGCCGCGACACGATCTATGACAAAAAACGAAAGCCGAAACCGATTGGCACGGTCGTAAATTCAGGATGAAAGGATGTCATTAAGACCGAATTACCACAAAAACATCACAAAGGGCGAACTTATTTCCCTAGCTATTAGGGACATTTGATGTACATACCGCAATGGACCGGGTCGTTGTGTGGGAAGCCGTATAGCATTCATATCCGGCCCGACTAGACTTTTCATCTAATAGGTAGTGAATTTTTACTGAACAAAGACATAAAAGTAAAAACACTGACTCTACTACAGGTTGATCCTATATGTCTAGTAAGGTATGCGTTCAAACGCTATTAGTGTCACGAGTGAAAAACGAATGCATGGCGTATTCTGGGGAGCGCCGAATGATTCTATGTAAATCAACGCAGATGCCATTTCACAGCGTTCAATTCCAGAAAGAAACTTTTCGTGTTGGCGGCAATGTATGTCATCGGCAATGTTTAAAAGCCATTCAGAGGTTCCGATGCAATCTTAATGCGAGAGAAGCTCAGCAAAAAAGTGGAAAATAGTCAAAGGTCATAAATAGCAGGAACGGATCACAGGAAGAGAATGTGGTTCGCTGTGAAACAACCCATAACCCACATGAAAAAAAAATCGTTCCCAGGTAAAGTGTCAGCGGCATTTTCCGGATAGTTCATCACCTTCTTACAAACTGGGCGAGTCTATCAAGGAAATGAGATGAGATATTTATAGCAGAACTGTTCGCTTACTGCTTTTATACATAGTATTACAGGGAACATTAGAAACCGAGCTTTATCAGAATGAGCCTTTTATACATAGTATTACAGGGAACATTAGAAACCGAGCTTTATCAGAATGAGCACTTAGATAAAATTTTTATTAAAATCAATTTATCCAATGGTAATACAGAGGAGCGATGTTACAAAAAAGAGGTCAGCATCTGTATAAGTGGCACAATATAATTAGAAGTTTGTTTCTGAGTCAAATTATAGAAAATTCAGGAGAACCTTCGGCTCTTTCTACATTCCCTTCCGTCTTCTTTCCAGCTCATTGAAAGCTTTCACCATGGGAACGTAGGACTGCAAAAGAGTGCAATGAGATTTGTAGACTACAGAATAAAGGGTTGGGTGAATGTAGGGGCGTAACACATAATGTAAAAGTCGAGCGAGCGGCTGTGTAGCGGCCGCGCTTGACGTCTTGAATTACGGTTGTGATATCGGGCAACTAATCATGGAAAATAGCTGCGACGGAACACATGCACGGCTCAATCAAAATGCCCATAACGCCAGTAAATGCTCAATTCCCATCTTTTACGGTCGAGTATTACTATTCAGTATTGCCACTGAGTTCAATCTGAAGGACAACAGTTCCACGAAAGAGTTTGGGGACCCTCCTGGGATTTCACTGGCCTGATCCACATCCCCACCTCACCCGTTGTGAGCTCAAGTTGCTCTCAAAAACACCAGATCGTCGTTTTTCCCACATCTATGCAAAGCAACAAACTCCTCGTATGGTACCCATTAAGGGACTGGCGGACGAAGGCACAGAAGCAGAACCACCGCACAAAAATCAAGTCCAACAATCGGCTGAGAGAACATCCCCTTCCTAGTTACACAGAGCACGTAGCTTGGGAAGCTGGCTGGGCAATCGAGTGGGAGTTGGGAAGAGCACTACAACGAATTGATGATTGAAATTTGATTTTGATGATCGCAAAGAGGAATCCAACCAGTTGGTCATTCAAAGCAGCCAACTGATACTCGGATGGACATGGTTCGACTGATCGTAACGGCTCATCCACTGGCGAAGGTTTCAGATCTTCCCGATTCAACTCCTCCTTGATTTCAGTTGGAGTTCGTTTTTCCAGATGGATTTGATCCTGAAGTAGATTAAATTTCTAAGTGTTATCGAGTACATGCAAAAAAAACTATGTAGCTTCACCATAAGGTAATCAGATGATTTAGTCACTGGTCGAAGTTCGTCGTCGTAACCATGGCCTTGATTTGTCTGAACATTGACTTTCTTCAGTTCTAATGACTTCTGATGAGGGAAACGATAATTGACTAGGTGGAGCACAGCCGTCACAATTGATCTCGATATCGAACATTTTCACTTTAAGTTTTCAGCTGCTTTATGGCTACCATTAGTTTTCAAAACGACTACTGCACTTCCACCCTTCTGTCAATATAGGCCGTATCCCGCCCTAAGCTCGTTTTGCAGAAAATAGCTATCAAAATGATGCGCTGAGATGCTGAAACCAGCCCTCAGCATCATTTTTATAGCTATTTTCCTCACCACGAGTCACCCCCAATTCAGAAGGACAGATTTAGAAAGGGCCATGCCATTTGCTCGGCATATGGACCAAGACCAAACGGTGTCGACGATGATGCTAAGCCACCATGCTTCTCGGAGTGGATTTTACTGGTTTTTCTACACACTCATCGTCATATGAACTAGTAGTTCATACAAGTCATAGCATGACGACAAAGATATCAAGCAAAATTGTGAATTCCATTGACTTACCATAACATAATCCGATCTTACTAGCGATGGTGCAGGCTTCTTGTTTAACTGTTGTTTCTGAAAATGTCACATTTATCAAACAAAGTCTAATGTATTTGGGAATTCCTACTGTCTCAAAAAAAGGTATACTTTTATCTAGGCTTTAAGCTTTTCAAGTGTTCCCTAACGAGAGCTCCTTACGAGCTCCCAAGTTTTGCTTGCAATGGAAGGAGCGATAACTTTATCCAGTTTTCGGCTTTGTTACTTTTCTTTCAAATCTTTTTTCATTTTTGCGAGTATGGATACGAACACAACGTTTTGCAAAAGTAAGGTGAAGGGGAAAGGTTCTTAGAGACCGCTCCTTCGATTGCTGGCAAAAAGTCAAACCTGACAAAGTGGGTCCTGAAATGAACAGATATCCCAAAATCGGGCACACAGTATCGGGTCAGAACTGCTATCACTATCAGTAGCATAATGATAACGAGTTCTGTGTAGAGCAGTTTTAAATAGCACAATCGGCTGGAGAGTGGACTTCTCCTTCC